TTTGCACTGTGCCAATAGGGGACATAGAGAAACAGAGAAATCAGTCACTCTTTAATAAAAACGTTGATTTGATTTTTACTTATTTTTGCCGTGAAACATTACAAGCTTCAGCCATCCCACATACATTTTCCTCTCCCCTGCTTGAAAGTGGTGTAGAGGATGTGGGCATAACCTCATCATGGCGCCCCTCAGTTTCTTTCTGACTTCAGATGTTTATGTTGATGGGCTCCCGAGGGAGCGGTCGCAGCAGTTAATGACAAATACATATGCACGAATGAAAGCCTCACACAGCACAACTGCCATACCGCAGACCACCACCACAACTTAGACACCCGTTTTTTTGGCACGGGATCCTGATGCTAAATGATAACAGCAGTGGAGGATCTGGTTACATCACACGGGGCTCTTGGCCCCCTCAGCATGTTGACGCACAGAAGGTCTGGTTAGTGGCTCTCCTTACAGTGTCCTCTGGCTGCCAGCTCATTGCTGGAGGATCAAACTGCCCCACCCAGCCTTTCTCAGCTCCGCCACCCATGTCAAATGCTGTTTCCATCAGTAACTTCTGGGTGCTTGAGACATTTCTGTCACCAGATGGAAATGCATTTTTAGACACACTAAGGTTTAGACATTTTGAAGTTAAGTTTTTTAGGAGGAAAATGCCAAAATAGTGTAAATGTTGTGCTTTATGTAATAAAATCACTTAATCACCTTAATTAATGTGGTCACTTAAATTGAAACTTGTGCTGTTACTAAGCACTAAGAACAAACCTGAAGCTGTAGTGTGTTAAACAAAGTCTTGTAACATGTAAACCAATGTTTCTAGTTTCCGAAATCATGTAAATTACTAATACCCTGTATCCACCAAAGTTGGTGCATATATGCAGGTTTTTTAAACACAGGAAATCCTGGGAAAGTAGACTAAAGACATAGGTGTAGATTTCACGGAGGATGCAAAGGACACATTCCCCTTAATAAGTAGAATATTAGCATTTTTCCTTCACAATAAAAACAAGAAAGCTGCAGAGACTTTTGTTCATGCTGTCACAAACTGGCTCAAAAGTATGTGTCAAAGAGTGAGACCACAGTCTGTAACTGATGCACATGTTTTGATTAAGTAAATTAAGTAAATAATACAATAGGATGTGTCAGTCAGCAGGTCAGTATGAATGCAATAGGATGCGTGAGTGAGTGTGTGTGTGTGTGAACAAATGTGTAGATCAGTCAGCAAGCCTGTGGAAGAGGGTAGAAGATCTTGCAGGTCTGATTTGTAACACCTGAGTCCAGCCTGCTCAGGTGTGCTGCATCACTGATGAGCTCTCACCTCACCCCATTATATCCTGCACAAAGGGAAAACACAGGCAGCAAGAAAGAGCATGGCAAAGGATCCCCAAAACCCCCTGTTTTATATGTGTGGATGAGTATTCCTTTCTCTTTTATTCCTGATATGTCACGTTCAGCATCACAGATGTGCCAAAAAACAGGGTTAGTAAACAGCAGGAAGCAGCATGGAGGCCAGTGGAAATGTTAAGGTGGTTACTTCTGTTTTATATCTGTAACTTATTCAGTCTTCTTTTCAAACTCGGTGCCGACTAATTTGGAACAATGTTTAAGTGCCGCTTGGACGGAGAGGGATGGAATATGTGGCTGTTGGGAGAAGTTTTGGCCAAAGGGCTTTCTGCCAGAAAGGCAATTCTCGGTTAAGGTTTGGGAAAAAATTGTGGTTTGGGTTAGAGGACTGCTTTGGGATTGGGATCTCGCAGGACTCTACAAAAATCTTGAATGGGCGATTTTATCTTTGCTGCGGGTGGAAGCGGTTAGTCAATAAACAGACATGATTACCGCAGATTAAGAAGCAGGAAGGATGGAGATGTCAACAATTGACGTGGAAAAGAAGACAAAGGCAGGACGTTACAATACAAAAGAAAAGCAAGGCCAATCGGACATTTGGAGGAATTTCTCAGGACAACCCGGTCTCACTCTGAAGTCGTCGAAATCCAGTGCTCGGTCAGTGACTTCTGGCGTCACACACGTCAGTAAAAGCCATCCTAGTGGGACAACAATGAAAGTTAAGGTGGCAGAAGTCTGACTCTGGCAGGTGGGAGGGGTGGAGGATGGGTCCAACAATCGCTGTCTTTCATTTAGAAGGCTGCTGTTCACTTCCTGAAAGATTGTAAAGCCAACCCTGTTCTTTTTCTCCTAAACCTAACCAGTTGCTTTTGTTGCCTTTAGAACCCAACCACGGGCCTGTGTTGGCTAAACGTAACCACACGCATTTGTTGTTGAAGGAAAAAAACCATCAAGTCGCGGTGTTGTACCGATGTGGTGCATTTATTTTGAAAGAGACTATGTAAAAGTTAATTTCCTGTGAAAATGGGATTGTACTCTGAAAACAGACAATGACATCAACAACCAGCGCACCCAGGGTACCTTGCACGTCGTATCTCGATGTGGATCGTCCATGACCTAACTTTGATATGTGATGAGGTCGGAGTGAGAACGTGTTGCTCAGGAATATTACAGATAATAACGATAACACCAAATCCCAGAGGCGTCTGGGAGAACAAGAGCTGTAATTATAAATGCAATTACGAACTGGAGTGTAGCTCTAGGTTGTCCTGTCTTTAATACCACAGTAAAATAACATGTTTTCCCTGTGGGACAGGAGAAGATTCAGTCTATTAATTACCAATATGTTGCACAGGCATGTATGGTCAGAATATTTGCAGGTGCAGGCAGGAGTTGACACACTCTGGGGGAATAGATAATACACTCTGCTGGAGTGGGCAGTAATGGTCAGAGATGCAGCGGGAGCAGGCAGGAGCGGGATTAGGAAAACAGTCGCACTCAGGGCTCTAGTTTGGGTTTCTAACATAAATCCCTCTCGGCAAACCTCTCTCATGTGTGAACAGTTGCCGACAGAGGCATTGTCATCATATTGCACCGAAAAAGGGGCAAAAATTGGTATCTTCACCCGTGTGTCATAATTCAGTCCCTGCTGAAAAGCTCCTGCATCTACTGCAGATTCATGTGTCCTGCTAATTGTAACCTTTCCCACTCAAGACAAAATCCAGATGTCAGTGGGGTTTTTTGTCCAGTGGGGAAGGGGCTTAAAGTTGGAAAAAAGCCAGGTGGTAGACATGTAATTTTCTGAGCATTTTCTGATGATGTACACTGGCTGAATGCTGACATGTAACTGGGGCACCTGAGGCCTCCTGGACCACATCTATCACGAGCATACAAATATAGGTTATTATGTGTTTTTCCACTGTTTTGTGTGCTTTCCTATCATAAAGTATTTGCCATGTCTTAACATAAATATGGGAACCTTTAACCTGTACCTATATTATAATAAATCACAGGTATTTATTATGTATTTGTAGTTAAGTACAAACATGCGAAACAAGATATTTTTATCTATTTATTTCATGCAGAGTTTTGTAGTCAGCACTTCCTGTAGTCCACCTGTCCTGCTTTCTGATGCTATTGTTGTGACAATTTATTGTTTCTCGAGGCCAGGTTATTTTTTTTGAATACTTCTTCTTGAGTCTTTGAACAGAAAATCCTGCACATTGCTCTTGCTCAGCTTACAATTTAATAGTAACACTAAGGTTTCAGTCCTCCTGGAACCTTGTCAAGAGTATTCAACACCATTATCTTACTATATAATGACGAAAACTGTCTGTTCCACGTTTTTCTCCTCACTGACTTGGTCAATCCATGTGAAATTTGGCACAGCGGTAGAGGGTCATGGGAGGATGTGAATGAAGCAATATTACATCAATTGGCCAAAGGGGGGCGCTATAGCAACCGACTGAAATTGCAAACTTTGAATGGGCATATCTCATGCCCAAAAAAATAAAAAAAAAAAAAAAATTACACAGAGATGCCTCTCCTCATGAGGAACACATTTGCCTCAAGAACCCATAACTTCCGCTTATATAGATTTTCCGCCATTTTGAATTTTTTGAAAAACACTTCAAATGGATCTCTTCCTAGGAAGTTTGAGCGATCTGCATGAAACTGGGTGAACATAATCTAGGGACCAATATCTAAAGTTCCCTCTTGGCAAAAGTTGGAAAACTTACTAAAACTGAGCTTCTATAAGGCAATGAATATTGCGGAGGCCGTGGCTCATCACATAAAGGTGTATAACATCTCAAGGGTTTCACCCATCACCACGCAACTTTGTAGGCATATGACCACACATAATCTGAGGGGACCCCTCCATTAATGAACCCATCAAACAAAATGGGGGCGCTACAGAGCTCATTTCTTATCTAGGCCTAACCGCCATATGGATTTTTACTAAACTTGGTAGATATGTAGAACAGGACGCCTCAAGGTGACTGGAGAAATTGGCAACTGGGTGGCGCTATAACAACAGAGAAATGCTTAAAATGGCTAAAATGCGACAGATCGCTGTGGCTCCCCCTGTGGACCAATGTTGTTGGGGTTGTTTTTTTACTAATTTTTGGCATACCAGTCATGGTATGGTATGCCGTACTCATTGGGTATGGACTAGTTTCCAACATTAAGCTTAAATAGAGACTGCCCCACCCATTTCACAGGTGTGCACAGGTGTGAGGAAATCAATCAACTGTGGGTGTGTTTCTCAATAACTGACAACAGTCTGTGCACCATATGTCTCATATCCCACAAATGAAAGAACAAGGGAACAAGAAAAACATAGGAGAAAACTCAAGCAGTGTGCGGGTTTTCAGTTCAAAGACTCAAACGATATTTTTCAAAACACCTGCATCTGAGACAGCTGGATGTGTGAATACCTTCCTTCAAACTAAGTGAATCATTTTTCTATTGTGGTGGCAAAAAAAGGAAGACAAATACAGTTTCTCTCACACAAAAATGCAATAATTCACCTAACGTGCTTTACATCTAGCACTACCATAAAGGGAGGATATGCTATAGTCCTCTCTGTCTTTGTCTTATTATGCATTTTTTCTGCCCTGCTGACATTTTGACAAATTCCCCTCTGTCCACAGGACGTCTTTCACCGTCTGTATCTCATCTACACAGTCGGGTACTCCATCTCTCTGGGATCACTCATGGTGGCTGTCGTCATCTTGGGATATTTCCGGTGAGTTAGTGCTGTCACTAGAAATTTCCAATCGATCCTTTTAACCACAGACGTTCCCAAGAGATGGATTTAGACACAGGGTGGGAAATTAAACATAGAGCAACTGCAGCAGGGATCAGAATGGAGAACAAAGGTTTACTGGCATGACGGCACATTAAAACCCCGTTTCCTACCACGTTATCAGTCACAAACACACAGTGAAGCAGAAAGCATTAAATTTCATGATGGCTTAATGGCTTTATGATGGAATCATGCAGGTCACTGTAGCTGTATAAGCATGCAAGCCTGTATATTTAATGTCACGATAACAACATGAAGCATGCAAACTGAATCAAACATTACCTTTGACTTTTACTCTGACACTGAGCAGCTTATGTTGCATCCACCTTTGAGGAGGAGTCTGTCTCCAGGCTCCAGTGTATGACATTTAAGGTATTTGTTAATTTCATGCTGATTTCAGGTTTTGATGGCAAGCAATCATAGCTTGGATATTGATTTTGTTATTGTACCAAGCGTTCAAAGAGTATAGTTCTTTTTTCTTTACCTTTTTCCCAGTGGATTGTATAAAGAAGACAAAAGAAGTTCTTAAAAGATGAGAAGAACTGAGAGTAAAATATTCAGTTATTGCGTTTGCACAGCTTTGCTTCTCTTATACTGCAGGAATCAAAGAGATAAAAGGATTCATCACAAATGCTTCACACATATGAGCCTTATCTGACCTCTGCCTCTGTGGTAACAGCACTTCACTGAAGAAGAACCCTTAAACAAGTTTGAATTCATTTTTTGTGCAGCAACACAGCATTTTTGTAACGGCTGATTAATGCAGGGCACATTTGTCATTATTTGCTTATTTTGTTGAGCATGGGGAGTATCAGGAATCGATGTGAAGGCGCTGTTTACCAATGTTCCCACCAGCGTGTCTTACCGTACAGGCAGGCAGTCAGACGGCTTTAGGAACACTCCCAACTGGCACCAGGAAATCTATGGGCCAAATGAGTTTAATAAGTTATCCCAGGGGCCCATCTGACATTCTGGCTCTGTGCTCCGGAGCACTCCAGCCATGCCTCCCCTTCAACATGTCAGCTTTTAGACAGGAGAGCTCGTAAATGTTTTCCAGGGAGAGAAAAGGGATATTTCACATTAGCAGTTGTACTGAGGATTTTTCACCAGGGAAATGTACCATAGATTAGTTTTTGCCTTAAATCAATAGTTCTCTAACGGTACAGTAGCTTGTCAAATATTTAGCTCATTAATGAGGCTTCAGAAGTAAAATGTCAGTAAAGCATAGTGGGATAATGTCAGTACTTGTTTATTTTCTTAAGACATTAGAATATTCTAGCACAAGTTGGCTTTTGCACTTTATTAAACCACTAATAAATATTCAGTTTAATTGTCACTGACTGTTATTATTTGATTTTGTAAAGACGTAACCTTTATAGCTATCAATCCAGCAGCCTGATCCCAGCACTGGAGCATCACCTCACTCCACAGTGAATGCTCAGACAGGATGTTTTGGAAGGACTTTTGACAGATACGCTCGTGCTTGTCTGGGAGGAAAGTGGCATGCTTTTTCTCGACACATGCTTGCAATTTCATTTTTACAGCTCACTTTGAGCCGAGCAATTCAATATTTGTGCGTTTCAAGCCCCTAAATCTCAAGAATGTGTTATAGTCAGCGTGGAATTCAGCTGGCTCTAATTAGGATGAGTATTGTTCATGTGTGTGCGCGTGTGTGTGTGTGTGGGTGTGAGAAAATACGTACACACACTTACATGAAGGTGTGCCAGCCCACACGTATACACACACACAAACACACACAGTGATATTTTCAACAGATCTATCCTTTGACCTTGCTGCTCTTGTTTGTTTTCTCCCCAGACGATTGCACTGCACCAGGAACTACATCCACATGCACCTGTTTGTGTCCTACATGCTAAGAGCTATCAGTATCTTTGTGAAAGATGTTGTGCTCTACTCTGGATCGGCCTTAGAGAACATGGAAAGAGTCACAGTGGAAGACCTCAAGTCCATCACCGAGGCTCCGCCAGCCAACAAAACACAGTTCGTAAGTACACCAACACAGCACACTGTGTCCTTGAAGAAATACACAGAGAAGGAAAAGCACTCAGTGAACTTTTTCTTACAGAGGAGTTTTAAATTTATTCGCAATGTAGCGGGGTTTTTATGTCACATACAGTATTTATGGGATGATTATGGTACACAGTATAATTTGCAGTTTAGCCAATGAAGGATTTTCTGTTTTTTCCAGGCTAAAGTCGTAACAGGAATCATCCTCGTTTGATTGCATTACAAGCACAGATAATTTGACTTGCAGTGTAGATGGGCGTTAAACGCTTTGCTTGCTAAGAGGAAGTGGTATTTTGCAAAGTCTCACCTGCTTTTCCAGTGGTGGAGCAAATAAACTGCACTGTTTGTCACCATGCCAAGCTTTTACTAGGCCAGTACTTGGCTTTCCCTTTCAGAGTCAAGTTTAAAAAATGGGTAAGGACTGGGTACTTTTCATGCATGCTTTAATATGCAAACAAACAATCTGCGCAATATATTTAGTGAACACATATCCGGTGACTCCAAATTGAGTTGTGGCCTGGATTAAAACTGCGTCATTAAAGAATTATGGAAATAACAGTCAGGACTTCTTGGGTTTTATTATGCCCAAAATCAGAACTGAACTGGGGTAAAAAAAAAAAAAAAAAGCTCTTAGGTTCTCTGCATGTACTGCATGGAACAATCTACAAATTAACCCTAAACTTCCAGACATGGTGACCCTGAATGAGTTTAAAACTATAGTGGAATCTACTGAATCCAGGCTGTCTGTGTGCAAATGTCTCATTTGATCATTTTCACATTGTAAAATCAATGTGTTTTTATGTTAATGTTATGTTAATGGTTGAAACTCAGTGTTGCTGCTATTCTTGGCCGGGTCTCCCTTGTAAAAGAGATCTTTGATCTCAGTGGGATAAACCTGGTTAAATAAAGGCTAAATAAAGGAAAAATAGACCAGTGCTTTAATGAAAATGCAAATTAGCCCCTTTTCAACACCTTTTAGGCTTCATTTTAAAACTGCTGTGGATATATGAGAATAAGAATGTAAATTCTCTGTTAATCTAGATTAAAATTACCATATAAAACCCACTTATTTCACAGATTTTAATGTAGATAGGTTTTCATCATATACCTTTCATGTTCACATTTTATTTAATTTGCTGACATTAATTGCATATTCATCATCATTTGATCAACCTGTCTGATATGTCTGGGTTTATTTCAGCAGCTCCACAGCGCAGGGTTTGAGAAAGCTTAAATAGTCAACTGAACCCATTAAGAAGAGCAATGTATTCAGAGTTCAGAGTTTTTGTGAATTTGATAGTATGATTGCAGCCACAGCGATCGGTTGCATTTTAGCCATTTTGAAGCATTTTTCTGTTGTTATAGCGCCACCCAGTTGCCAATTAGAGTTAAATTTCTCCAGTCACCTTGAGGCGTCCTGTTCTACATATCTACCAAGTTTAGTAAAAATCCATATGGCGGTTAGGCCTAGATAAGAAATGAGCTCTCTAGCGCCCCCATTTTGTTTGATGGGATCAATAATGGAGGGGTCCCCTCAGATTATGTGTGGTCATATGCCTACAAAGTTGCGTGGTGAAGGGGGAAACCCTTGAGATGTTATACACCTTTATGTGATGAGCCACGCCCTCCGCAATATTCATTGCCTTATAGAAGCTCAGTTTTAGTAAGTTTTCCAACTTTTGCCAAGAGGGAACTTTAGATATTGGTCCCTAGATTATGTTCACCCAGTTTCATGCAGATCGCTCAAACTTCCTAGGAAGAGATCCATTTGAAGTGTTTTTCAAAAAATTCAAAATGGCGGAAAATCTATATAAGCGGAAGTTATGGGTTCTTGAGGCAAATGTGTTCCTCATGAGGAGAGGCATCTCTGCGCAAAGTTTCATGTCTCTACAACATACGTGGGCATGAGATATGCCCATTCAAAGTTTGCAATTTCAGTTGGTTGCTATAGCGCCCCCCTTTGGCCAATTGATGTAATATTGCTTCATTCGCATCCTCCCATGACCCTCTACCACTGTGCCAAATTTCACATGGATTGACCAAGTCAGTGAGGAGAAAAACGTGGAACAGACACACACACACAGACAGAGTTTTCGTCATTATATAGTAAGATGGGATCAAATAAAAATGCCACTTGTAATGTTGTAGGTTAAAGGCATACTTGTGGGTGCTCTTTGTGAACCTAGGCATCAATAAATTGATTGATTTATTAATTCGTTGTTGATTTCATTCAGTCAGTGACTTGTTCAATGCGTCGCCCAATGTAATATAAGTCAGTGGAGTCCCGGGGAAATTCACATGGTCCAGAAAACATGTCGCTTTTCCACAAGAGCTGCAGCTCACTGTGTGATACCTCCAGTGTCCAGAAATCTCTGCTCTGCTTCCTGAGGTCGCTGTATACTATGATGGATATTTATTTTATACTAATGCTATATGAAATGGGTGTATTTGTTGTAGGCTCACATATGAAAATGTTTTTGCTCACAGTAGATGCATCATGTCCACACTAATATACCATGGTTTCATGTCTAGTATATCTGCAATAAATGCACTCTGATAAACAATAATGGCAGTATTTTTCTTTCCCCTGTTTTAGTTTTTGAATCTCATGCACCCCAGCTTGCAAGAAATACGCACCTGTCGCAGTATGACTATGGTTTTGAAAATAGGATTAAATACGGTTCGACTGGTATGTGGCCCAGTTATGCAGTATGGTGTGGCAGGTCACAGGTTCTGACTCAGCCCTGCATCCGCTCGCTGCGAGGAGAACAGCAACCCCCTACCTTCAGCTCCAGCTGAATTGTTATGCTGACATCATGATTCACAGAAAACACTTCCCTAACCTAGCTCTTGAATATTTGAATAAATTAATGTGACAAACATAATTAGCCCTCTCAAATGTTTCAGAATTATTGTCATCTCGCTATGAAAACTTTGAATTTAACAGACTTAATTATAAAGAATTACAGGTGCATGAATTATTTTTTGATTGGAACAAATCTAATTAAATTATCCACATATACATCAGCACATGACATACTGCACATAAATCATAGGAATCAGTGGAAATATTGCTAATTATTATGGTTTACATGCAGGCTCTGTTCACGCTAAGCAAGAAAATATATTTTACATCCAACACAAGCTACCTCATTTGTAGGAGTGTCATATCTAATCAAAGTGATGTCTCCGTCATTCTGACTTTGTGCTGACGGTTTCTACCAAACACAACGTATCCAGCAGAACTAGAGGGGAGACTAAAGCCATCAAAGATAGAAGTGTTCAATGGTGAAGATAGATAGACATGAATTTGTACATCAATACAACCAGCTGCACTTTAAAGTTTGCTCGTGTCATTGCAGCGTCCCAGGAAGTAGCAGTCTGAGTCAGCTGCAGCTGTCTGATTTAATAGACTGTATTGTATTTCAGGTTACATCGCAGATTGTGTATTCAGTCATCTGCTGTGGTGTGGCCGTGTTTTGTGCTGAGAGTTGCTTTGCTCCATTGAGCGGTATACTCAACAGCTGCACTCCCTGCAAACATCACAATGAAAAAAGTGACAATTGGAAAATTATTTCTGTTCAAATATTGCTGATAACTGATGAAAGTGCGATGACTCTACACACAGGATTCATACTGGCTATATTGTAGCGCTACTGCGGCAATATGAGTGTCGTAACGAGAAAAATATTTGAAGTAACCAGAAAGTGACTTTTGTCGATGAGTAGTGATTAAACATGTTGTCCTTGTCTGTTGTTTGTGTATAGATCGGCTGCAAAGTGGTTGTGACTTTGTTCTTGTACTTTCTGGCGACCAATTACTACTGGATCCTGGTGGAAGGTCTGTACCTCCACAGCCTCATCTTTATGACCTTCTTCTCAGACAGAAAGTATCTATGGGGATTTACTCTGATCGGATGGGGTGAGTCCTGCTCCATTACATTCTTTTTGCATGCATGTGATTACAACATGATTAGCGGACCCAACGTGCAAATTACATCATTAAAAATGTAAGGTATTTCATTCTTGATGGCCTAATTAGTCATTTAAAAAGCATGCTTTCAAGTCAAGTCTGTGATATTGTATTAATAAGTAGGTGAGGACAGTAGAAAATGGCTTGTGTCTGGGTAAAAACCCTGCATGAATATGGGCTTTACAGTTCCTGCATTGTACACACTGTGCGTATAAGTTACATAAGCACAGCGCATACAATGTGGATGCTGTGCTACCCAGGTTCTACCCACATGGGCAAATTACGGACTTCTTATAGAATCATTTAGAGTACTTTCTCATACTGATGTCTGTTTCATCACAACACATTTTGTCTTTTATTGTTTTTCAGGAGTTCCAGCTATGGTTGTGACAGTTTGGGCGACTATGAGAGCCACGTTTGCAGACACAGAGTAAGTGATGTGCATATAAAATACAAACATCATTCTGGCTACCTAAAAGGATACTTAACTTTGATGCAGACCTATAAAGTGCATCAGTGGTTTTACTTTGCTGATCAGATGGTATCTGTGTCAAGTCTCCTTTACCTTTCTGTGTGGATATTTTAATAGTGAACTGCAAATTAAAAAAAAAAAATCAGCTTTAAGCTCACTCTGGTACAAAACATCAAATGGATACACACATGTTTATTGTACACATATCAGTCCCTTTATAAATAAATGAATAAAAACACAGCGCACACACACCAAAGTTGAAAAGTCAGTTTTCTTCACAGTTCTCGATTAACAAATCTACCATGAACCCCTGTAGCAAAGCTTGAGGACCGGTCTGAGAGCTAAGAAGAATTACAGTGGCTTCACTCTCCATTTCTAAATCTTCACAGGGAAAACCGCCTCAAACCACCTTGGCGGGCCCTCAGCCCCCTCTCACTGGCACTATCTGTAGTCCCCGCATTGGTTCTGTACCACGGTCAGACATTGAGGATTCTGGAGCTGAGAGCTTATGGCTGCTGGTATCCAGTAGCTGTCCAGTGGAACTAAACCACATATTTCACTCCTCAGTCAGCAGGCGAGCAGCTCCATTTTACGCCTTTTTGGGCAGAAAAACAAACCAAGTATGAAAGTAACCACAGCTTGGGCATGTAATGGTTGTCACTGGGCTAAAAATCAAATCACTTCACAGTAGGTGCCACAGTGGTTAATACTGACTGCCCACTGTCAATGCTTTTTTGTCCACAGATCTATGGATTTTGTCAATAAAGGACACAAAATGATGGGAAAAAATCAGAGGAGGTGACCTCAGTGTCCTCATTGGTAGCTGCAGCCTTAGTTAAAGCAGTATTAACTCCTGTCACATTTTACTCACTGTGGCCTTGTTTTTCATTGATGTATATAAATCCTGTACCTCTGTGGAAACACCACAATCATGGGCAGAAGTAGGTACAATTCAAAAACGTTGTAAGTCATAAAAAAGAGAAAAAAACACAAGCTGAATTTCTTTGATTAATAAAAAAAAATAATTCTATAAATGCAACATTTTTCCAAGTTTCAATATTGGGAGAATAAATGGGGCTCAACATGCTTTACATACTGAACTCTGCATTTTTACAACCTCTGCTTACAACCTGCTCTCTCTCATGCGGGATTTATACGTCTGCCTCGAATTGACGCTGTACCCTACACCATTGCCTGACATGCACCTCCCCAGAAACTACAGTACACGTCGTGGTGACGCAGACCTCCTGTCTATTACTTTAAGCTGAAACCATTTCCCTCAGTGGAGACGAAGCTTTTATTTACTTTAATTTCACAGATAAAAAACAATAAATTGTGAAGACAGTAAAACCTCCTCAAATTAGTATTTTAGGTCTTGATTTATCCATATGAGCAGAGGAAATCTCCGCTAGTTGCTAGGCTAATTTATACAATGTAAAATCCCATAGGCTTGTGCTAATAACGTTAGCATGTTGTTTTTGTTTGGAAAATGTGTCCAGATAAAGACAAGTGTTTGTCTGTGAATACTGTGAGTTATAGTGAAGTTGATTTGTGTACTTGTGTTTGAAATTGTTTCAATTTAGCCATGTTTAATGTGTGTTTTTTAAATGTGTGTTTGGAATCAACTAAACTTTACAGTACTTCACAGAAACCCCACCGCCAACTAGTGTTTTGGAGGTGTAACTGCAGAGTGACACAGAAACACCACTGCACAAGTATAAATGCTCACAGGGGCGTAGGCTACGGCGTAGGGTCTGCACTGAGCTGATGCACAAGTATAAATCCTGCTTTAGCTGCTCTGTGTAAACAGCCTGCAGCACATCTAAGTTTCACTTTCACTCTTGTCACATGACTGTTGGTCTCAGTCATTCATGGCTCCCAATTTGTGCTGACAATCGCAGAATTTGATGTTATCTACAGGATGTGGTTTGTGCAAATGTTTGAGGAGTAGAATGAAGTGATTTTAATGAAATATCACTAGGACCATTAGAAGTTTGAAAATCTGACAATAATCTGGGGAAATTTTGGCAAATTTCAAAAGAAAATGCCTTTCAGACCTGTCAGCAGGGTACAGTGGGGTGCGTCATGTTTTAATCAGATGTGACAGTTTAGGCAGAGTGAGCTGTTTTGATACCAACTCAAAACAGGCACAGATTTGTTATTTCAATGCCTTGGCACAAACTAAAACAGTCTTTTTAGAACTGCGAAAGCCCCTAAACATGAAGGGGGCTTTATGTGAGGCCCAGGGGTAATGTTCCAATTCAGTAGGGTGGAAATAACTTGTAAATATTTACTTTGAAAAATGGATTTCGTTCATTAATGGTTTCATATGTTACTTGTGTCTTGAATCAAAATGACAGAGGGGGGAAGACAGAGTAAATCTCGCTAACTGTGAAGCAATAGCAGTGATCATCAAGGTCACCAGTGTGGCACTGAGAGATCCTGGATCATCTCACCAAGCCCCTTGATCCTCACTTATCTCTTGCTGATTCCTGTTATGATTTGTTGTTTGTCTACTGCAGGTGTTGGGACTTAAGTGCAGGCAATTTGAAATGGATATATCAAGTGCCTATTCTGGCGGCTATAGTGGTGAGTGCACGCTTATTGCTCACACCTTTCCCCTGCTGAGAAGGAAATGATAGTGTTTTACAGCACCTGTGGCATAACAGTTGTTGGATAACATCTCATTATGTTTGCAGCTACACTAACGGATATCATTATGTTTCTATTTTGTCTTCAGGTTAATTTTATGTTATTTCTGAACATCATCAGAGTCTTGGCAACTAAACTACGAGAAACAAATGCTGGACGATGTGACACAAGACAACAGTACAGGTACTGGTTTATTAGTGCTGTGCAAAATTTTTAATTTCATTTCTGAACCTCACAAGATAAGCTGCTCCTTATGATTGATTTATCTTATGATGTATTTCTATCTCACATCACTGCCGACGTGATAACACTGTGAATGTGTTTACTTTGATTGCATTAGTATCATGAGACAGGCTAAAATCACCCGAATAAAGGCTGCAACTATTGATTATTATCATTACTGATTAGTCAGTCAGATATTTAATGAAATTTAATGAAATTTTCTGGTACAGGACATAAATGCTCTCCATCAGACTCCACGCACAAAACAAAATCATACAATACAGTACCAAAATACACTCAGTTAAATCACATTAGTTAATAATCACAAATCAGCTCTTAAAATCATACAGAACAACCTTTGTTGACTAGAATCTATCCAGACTGTGCCGCACCACATCCTCTGGGAGCTCATTCTATGCCTTTACAGCGCAAAGTGTGAAAAAGTTTTTTCTCTTTTTATTGGGAATCATTTTAGAGAGTTCCCTCTTAACTCGTACCGACTATACCAAAATGTTACAACAGGCTCAACTGTGGTATCATATTCCATGATCAAGCTTATAAACCTCGATCATGTCTCCTCTATGTCTCCTGTATACTAAAGTTGGTAGTTGCAATGTTCTTAACCTCTCTTCATATGACATCTCTTTGAGACCTGGGACTAATTTAGTAGCTCTCCTCTGAACCTTCTCAATCTTTTCTATATATATTTTAATTTATAAGGACACCAGACCAAGCTTGCAAATTCAAGATGTGATCTCACCAAGGATTTGTGTAATGGCAAAAATATTTCCCTACATAAATTCTGAAAGGTTCTTCTTATAATCGCCAGCATGGAGTTTGCCTTTTTAACTTTTTCTGAAATGTGTGCCTGGAATTCAGATGAACTATCGACCACTACACCTATATCCTTTTCCTCATCCTCATGCTGGACCACCAGTTCTCCAATATTATAATTAATTTTATTGTTGTTACATTTCCCAGTGTGTAAATGTTTACACTTTTCTGAATTTAATTTCAATAACCACTCATCACACCAGTTACTCATGCTATGGAGATCTTCTTGAAGTCAGGCTGTGTCGGTGTCCTTAGTAATTATTCTAAATATTTTAGTATCGTCAGCAAAAAGATACACATCAGATTGTAACATATCTGGTAAATCATTTATATAAACAACAAACAGTACAGGCCCCAACACAGATCCCTGTGGAACTCCAGAGGTCACCGGTTTCCAGACAGAAGTGGCACCATTTACCACCACGTGTTGTTTCCTATTACTTAAAGGAGGTATATGTAAGAAATCTAAAGCAAATAGTCATAAAATCATCCTAATATGTCACAGAGACTAAGGAATAATGTTAATATAACATACTGATCTCACCAACAACAATAGTACGGCCAGAATATTCGCATTTAAAAAAATATTTTACGGTCCGCAAATCATGTTTACGTATTGAATTTGTGTTTTGGCCTGTTGCGCCACCCACCGCCGTCTACCAGTCACGCAGTCAGTAGAGTCTCATCATCAGTTACAGTTACGACTGAGCTACAGCAGCACGGCAAGCAGCATTAGCAGTGTCCCAGTACATAGCATTAGCAGTCTCCTCAGCTGTATCCTGGCAGCAGCATTAGCAGCAGAGAAGCCAGACTTGCTCGAATGGTCTGCTGGAAAACCGAAGATCACGGACGTGGCCACGGCAGCTGTCCGTGGGCAAACAAATCAGTCTCCAGCGTGCTGCTGTCCAGCAACCTCGAATCTGTAGAGGAGGGGGCGGGGACACGACTCGCGGCGGTATTTTGAATTTGAGTGCAGTAACCGTTTTGGCCACATTCTTACATACAGCGCCTTTAAAAAGCCCTGTATCCAGTCTGTAACTCTGTCATCTATACGATAGGATTTTAGTTTCGACAGTAGTCTTTTATGGGGAACTGTATCAAAAGCTTTTTGGAAGTCCATATATATGCAATCAACAGACTGTCCTACTTTAACTTTGATGTAACTTTGATTCTTCTAATGATTGATAGTATAATATTGTTAGAGGTTCAGCAATCCTAAAAGCCAGTTCCTTTAAAATCCTAGGATGTATTGCATCTGGTCCTGGTGATTTGTAGATGTTAATATTCTGTAGAAGCTGTATAGTTTCCTCAGTAGTTATTATTACAGATTATTTGTTTTTCATTTAATCGATTGTATAAAATCTAAGATATTTGATTTAGAATGATGTAAAACTGAGAACTATTGTTTCCGGATACTATTTTAGCTCCATAATTTGCCAACACTGCGTGGTGTTCTGTTAAGATTATGAAATGCTGTTGTTTTGTTACTGTTACAGAAAACTGTTGAAGTCCACGTTGGTGCTGATGCCACTCTTTGGCGTCCACTACATCATATTCCACGCCATGCCGTATACAGAGGTGTCTGGAGTTCCCTGGCTGATACAGATGCACTATGAGATGCTGTTCAACTCCTTCCAGGTGAAGCTGCTGTGATAGAAATGTCAGAAATTCTAATTTAGGTCTGAGGGTCCCAGTTAATTACTGTATCCTTTCAAGTTGAACAGATCTGATGATCTGATCAAGTCCTCAGGTTTAAAGTGTCTCTATCAACTAAAAAGAGTTTCAAGGTCTCAGGAAAACACAGGAGGGGATTGGTTACCTAATGCTAGCTAAAATAGCTGCTTATTGGTGAGATATTTGGTCGTGGTTAGATCTTAAAGGAATACTTCACCCCCCAGATGACCATTTGTATTTCAATTACTCACCCAGTGTTACATTGAGGTCGTGAAGAAAATGTTTTTGTCGCAACTTCACATGCAGGTGCCCCAGTGGCTCAGAGCACCTGCCCAATGCAGCTCCCTCGCTCTGACATCTCTCCATTTATTACATGTATAGGTCCTGTTTGTGCATGTACATGTATTTTGGGCCTGTGTTTATGTGACAACAGAGAAAAAAAACTTGAATTTCCCCTCAGGTATTAATAAAGTATATCTTCTTCTTTTAAATGCCAGACTCTATTGACAAAAACATTTTACCTTGCTGAACACAAGCCTCAACAGGTAGTTTGTGTTATTGTGGCTGACCTGACCCTTTAAAACAGTGGTTCACAACTGGTGGGGCACAGTCAAAAAGTGAGTCACGGGTTCATTCTGAAGTGACCGCAAGTGACACGTGAATATGTCAATTTTGTAAAAAAAAAAAAAAAAAAAAAAAAAGGTACAGTGAATATCTGGCACAGAGCTTTTACTCTGAAGTGCAGTTTCCTGCTTTAGAGTGAGTGAATAGGCTCGTTGGAGATGAGCTGCACCTTGCCTTGAAAGCGTACGAGATCAGGCGGCTGCAGCAGGAGGCGGAGACAAACAGCTGCCGTGAAGTTTGACAGTTTCCCGACAGTTTCCAGCAGCCTTCAGTCTGTACAGGAAGCCACATAAGCACCCACATCCTGTCTGATATGATGTCGATTTAATAACGATTATCAGATTCATATATCAGTTTGTTCTCTGTCTCCAGTTGTTTAAATTAAGGTAGCTTGAGTTATTAAAATGATACAGGCGATCTGTGATTTATGTTCTTGGTTCAACCTCCATTTACCATGAATTCTCATGTAAATCTGTGAATCTGCGCAGGCCTGGCTTATCTCGAACGAGCCTAATATCAGATAGCAACTTAACAGAGACAGCAAACTGCAAGTATGACACTAAATATTTTAAACTGTGTGGACCTCAAACTAATGACTAAGGACAAATCTGGACCCCATGGCTGGACCAATGGGGAACCACTGCTTTAGAAGACGAAAGTCACACAATAACACAAACTAACTGATTGAGGCAGCAGTAGACCAGCAGCTCCTGTGTTCAGCAAGGTAAAATTACTGTTTTTGTCCATGGAGTCTGACTTTGAAGAGAGAATAGATGAGCTTCACTTATAGATCAGTTCCTTGTCAGTAAGGACTGCGTGTGAAGTTGTTTTCTGGGTGAGAAATTGATATGCAAATAGTCATGCAGGGGGTGAATTATTCATTCAAGAGATAAAGAGGAAGAGAGGGTGGCTGATGATTTTAAAATACCACACTAAATATCAAGTTATACGGGAGCGTATCTATGTTCCCCGGGTTCTATGTTCCCCATTTAACCCTGCAAAAAAGGTTCTATGTTCCCCACTTATCCAAAAAAGGCAGGAAACATAGCAGTTGCATTAATATGTTGTTTTAACATCTCTAAACTAAACACACACAACGGAACATAATGGGGAGAAATTACAATCAGAAACTTACCCTTTGGGTGATCTATGGTGGGCAATCTGGGCAAATATATCCTTTACAGAAGGTTTTTTAATCCAGCAGTTAAATGCAGTGTTTCAGTCAGTGCAGATTTCTTCGAGCAGCCAAAGACCAACTGGTAAGAAAAGAATAATTATCATGGCCGAAATAAAGATAAATAAGCTGTTAAGTGCAGCGTTTTTTTGGGAACTCTGTTCAGTAAATCCACCATGAATATTTATTCGTTTTGTGATAAAAATAAATGCGTCTATGTTGTTGATCACGGATGTTGATATCAACTGTTCAGTTTCATGTTTCATACATGTTTCCCTGTACCCATAAGCAAACGGGGAAACGCATTAACTGTACATAAATATTTATTTTTATTTCGGCCATGATCAATATTCTTTTGTTTACGAACACTGGTAGATAACTATCTTGCCACAGGTGGTCTTTGGCTGCTCCTGACGCTACCGTCATAAAAACAAGAGAGGAAGAAATCTGAGTATCTGATTGGTCGAAGAACCGAACTGAACAGTTGATATCAACATCCGTGATCAACAACATAGACGCATTTATTTTTATCACAAAACGAATAAATATTCATGGTGGATTTACTGAACAGAGTTCCCGAAAAAATGCTGCACTTAACAGCTTATTGTAATTTCTCCCCATTATGTTCCATTGTGTGTGTTTAGAGATGTTAAAACAACATATTAATGCAACTGCTATGTTTCCTGCCTTTTTTGGATAAGCGGGGAACATAGAACCTTTTTTTTTAGTAAGAGGGAAACATAGAACCTTTTTTGTGTAAGTGGGGAACATAGAACCTTTTTTGCAGGGTTAAATGGGGAACATAGAACCCGGGGAACATAGGGATGACCCCAGTTATACAGCTGAAATGTCATGTTGAGTAAACACAGCTGGTCTGGACATTTATGAAATCATTTTCTGCTCTTTTCCAGGGATTCTTAGTCGCAATTATATACTGCTTTTGCAACGGGGAGGTAAGCACTCAGTTTTGCATTTTACACCAGAACCCTTGCGTTATAGTTTAGCTCTTACATGGCTGAATAACTTCTTCTCTTTCAAGGTGCAAGCTGAGATCAAAAAGGCCTGGAGCAGGAGGACTCTGGCCCTGGACTTCAAAAGGAAAGCTCGGAGCGGCAGCAACACTTACAGCTATGGACCTATGGTGTCACACACCAGTGTTACTAATGTCACTGCCAGAGGGCCACTGGCCCTCCACCTCACCACGAGACTGGGACCGGTGCCTGTGAACGGGCACAGGAACCTCCCCGGGTACGTGAAGAACGGCTCTGTCTCTGAGAACTCTATACCCTCATCGGGACAGGAACTTCACATTCCTGATGAGGAGCACTCTGCTCATACACGGCCCTGCGAGAACGAGAAACCCTCACCTGTGGTGGAGGAGGAGAGGGAGACAGTCATGTGACCTCCGGGCCGCTGTGTATAGGGATGAAACCTGGAAAAAATAAATAAATCAAGGAACAGTCTCAGGATGGTCTGAAGGGGACGGCTGCATGCGTCAACACTGCCAGTTTTTTCTCCTGTGAATCAAGCCAGAACATTGCCGACTGATGCTCAAGGCAAAAAGGGTGTATCACTTATGTGAGCTGGGCCGCCTCGTATTTGAGGGATGATGACCCTCACTGTTGTGGCAAAATACTTTCAACTCTCATCAACCACCTGCCACAGTGAATGTGTGAAGGGATGAAAACAGACTGCCGTTTCGTGTTTCTTTTCCACTGCCATAACTGTTGTTATCTTGCTTTCTGTACGCTTCTTTGGAAAGTGTCTTGTTCTCAGCTTTGTGCATAAATAAAACGGGGGTTAGTTACAGTGTAGTTGCCAGGAACAGCCTTAATCACCTTCGTAAAGCCAGGTGGATCTTGAGTGCACTTAGTGAAGTATGTGTGGGCAGTTTCATCAGCAAGTTTTCAGATTAAGTCAGCGTGAGAAGACTAAGTGTAGGCTCAGCTTAAAATTCTTTTAATGCTACTATTTTGAAGCGTCCATTCATGCTTTCTGGCATGGGTTGTCATTCGTTCTGCATTGACTTAAATCCACTTCAGTGTAAAAGGGAAGGTACTCAGGTAATTGAAGTCCTCTGTTGTTGCACACCTATTTTTATACTTTAAAGTGGTGTTTTGGCATGGTCAGCATCTCTCTGAGGGTATGTTATATAAGGCTGTGTCAGTTTGTTGTTTTTCTAAATGTACAGTTTCTGCTGTTTAGAAGGACCAAGTATTCATCTCTCTAATTACAACAGATTTCGAAGAGTTCTAATGAATGTTTCATATTCAAATTTTCTCCTAAAATACCCTCACACACACACTCACACACACACACAACATGATGCCAAAGTAGGAATATTTCTTTGAAGACTGTCTCTCTCTCTGTCTGTGGGTTCAGTGTTAGCTGAGGTAAAGACGAACGTTATGGAAATCTGACAAAAACAGTATCATATGTTCCCACAGAGTTTTCAAAGGAGGAGACCCCATTTTAAAAACACAGGGTGCAGGAAACGGTCATATATTCCAGTGGAATGTTAATTAAATGAGGATTCCAAGAAAATCTCAAATTCAGCTGGAATTCCAAGAGTGACATTTGTGGTGGATATGAAGGAAAACCCCAGAAATGAATAACACACAGTAATTTTTACAAATGGTTCAGTGTTATGCTGCTTTTTGATGTGTATATACAAGTCACAATGTTTACAAAGATCAGAAATACATTCTAATTGTGAGCTAACAGTGTTCATGTGTATGGATATGTTATAAAGCTATGTTTCAGTGTTTTTTTATTTCCACGTGTTTGTTTACAAAATGTTTGCAATATTTGATTATGTACATAGTCCAAAACAAAACTGGTGAATATATGTACAGGTGATGGAGGGCATTCAAACTAGCATTTAATGAAGCATTCCACAAGATATGTTAATCTCTGTAACTTGTAATTTACCGCACTTAACCTGCGTGGTTTGCAGTTTAAGTTTAGGAGACCTGTTATACCAAAGAGAAAAGGCACAATACGCTGCCACAGAGGAAAGGGTTGGAGGTTTTTTTTTTGCAGTATTTCTTTCTATTTTCATCCACCATCTTGTTTACAGTGACCAAAAAGTCTTAACATTGCAGTAAAATCGTCTCAGACAAAAAAAAGAATTTGCTACTGGTAGTTAGTGTTGGAAAATGTCGAGATTAAAATGTTGAAATAGAGCACCCCCACAGATTGAAGTTTCTTTATAGATGTTCAGTTTCATGTAAACAGCAGTGAGGCAAATGGGGAAACCATTCACAACACTCAGTAGCTTAGTAACAATGGACTGAGATCATTCATACTGAAGGCTCCACTCGGATTTTGTACTGAAAATAGTCTCAAGAGCTAAATTAGTCCCTATTTGGTTTGGACCAATGTGTCTGATGGAGTTGTGATTTAGATCACATTCAGCTTAATAGAGTTTTACCTCACATTCATTTTAGTTTGTGACCAAAGATAATATTTTCCCAGGGTTATTCCACATTTTTTCTCACATCATACAATAGTGACCACCTTTGGATTGTAGGCGCTTTTGTCCCTCCTGCTGTTGTGGTCGAAAGCATTCTGGTTTCACTTCATAGTCCAAGTAGTACTGACCAATCACGTCTGAGTTGGCTTTAGTCCCCTGCAGACAAACAGTCCACGTGGAGTGCAAAAGAGACAGAACACACTGGCTGAAATGCAATCTCGGACCCATCAGCAATCATTTAGATGATTTAGCTTTTTTCTAGTGATATCAGTGTGTAGAATTAGCTGCAATGTTGACTGGACCTGTAAACAATGAGTGACATAGTGAGCGATGAAGTCTTGGCCGTTACCTCCAGAGGCTTCATCATTGTCAGGTGATCACTGATGGGTTCTGAGATTGTCAATTTCATGATGTAGTTTTTCTCCACCTGATGGTAGATCCACTGAGGTGTGTGTCTGTTCCAGTTTGTACTGCCTACAAGTTCATCCAGCTAATTTACACTGCATCTACAGGAGTACGTAGCACTAAAGTTAATTCATATTTTTGCTAAATAAATCAGACAACTTTACGAACTGTCTCCACTGTTATGTAAAGGATAAGTCTGTAAATATTACGTATTTTTCTCATCAACAAATTCCATGAAAATACCAAAACCAACAATGAACTGACTTATACAGAAAGTATATAATGATATAGCTCATTCCTCTGTGCCATACACCTCTATTGTGTCTCAATAATAATCAAAAACACAATATAAAGGCACACTGTGTGCTGGGTGACATTTAAATTCGTGAACAAGGGCACTGTATATTTTTTTGTCTGTCAATCTCACAAACACCTCATGTGTGCCTAAATACTCCCTAGCACACCACGTGTGTATTAATCAACCCGGCCTCACTCTGAAGTCGTCGAAATCTGGCACTTAGGCAGTGACTTGCGGCGTCAGACACTGACAAAAAAAGCGGCCCTTCAACATCGGCATGATACGCAGCCGGTTGTGGTTATAGTTTAACGGTGCTCGGCAACATTGGGGCAACGTGGCGGGACAAGAATGAAAGTTACGGCAGCGAAAGTCCGAGTAGGGCAGGAGGGAAAGGTGGTGGATGGGTCCAACAAACACTAAATTTCACCTGGAGAGCGGTGTTCTCATCCCGTAAGATTATATAGCCAAATTTATTTATATATGGCTAAACGTAACCACGTGCTTTTGTTGTCTAAACCCAACCACGTGCGTTAGTTGTTGGAGGAAAAAAAATTGCAGAAAATTTGCATTGTTCTACTAACATTTTGCATTTATTTTGAATCATTCACATCGTATCCGGATGTGGAAGGTCCATGACCAAACATCGATATGTGACAAGGTCGCAGGAGTGAATGAATGTGTTGTATTAATCTGCTGAAAACAGTCCCCAACAAATGCGCCATTTCCTCATGATTGAGAAATGTTTGCTAAAAGCTACAGTGCCCTAACCTGGATCCAGATGCCCTGCCCCCAACAAATTCTAATTTGCACTGCACGGGGATCTGGCCCCGATGAGCAGAGCCCGTTGAATCGCCTATCGGACCAATCAGATCTACCTGCGAGAGGCGGGCTCTGGGCAGGCGTAACATTATGAGGACAGCGCTGCGCTGTAGGAGTCTTAAAGTAAACAGCCAAGATGGCAGCTGCCGAAGGACCACGTCCATTCAGTTAGCTTTGGAAGAAACACTAAGCCAACTACACTTTTCTTTATCCTTGAGAGAGGAACAGAGGACTGCCCTAGAAGCTTTTGTTTCCAGGAAGTTAGCCCCACTGTTCGGCAAACAAATGGGGCTCAGTGCAACGAATACGTCACCTAGTTTTTTACTCTGATTGGCCACCGTGCTATCCAATTCCTTACGGCGGCATTTGAAATGCCTCAGTTAGTGTCACCCCTTGGGTAACAAGGCTGTATCGGTGAGGGCTAGACTCAAAATCTTTCCAGATTTGAGTCTGGATTTCCAGGGTAACAGTGCCCTGCTGTTTATTGAAATTACTTAGACTTAGAAAAAAGAAAAAAACTAGATATCCGTCAGCTGTTTTAAAAGATTTGGAAACACGTAAGAGACGAGGACATGGTAGGAAAGTACTGAGGGATGGTCTAGCACATTGATGGTTTGGGTCTTTTCACAGCATTTCTTGGCAATAAGAAAAATCTAGACCATTATACAACAACTCACCATTAGCAGGTGAATTCTGAGAAGTGCGTTCTGGCCCTTCAGTGACTTCAACTTCAACTTGAACATTTCCATGGGGGTCAGACATTATTGTAACTTCAGGTTGAGTCTGTGACTACAACAGTAGTTAGCGGTGGCTGCAGACCACAGTGACCCAGGTGGAGGGGAACTTTATAATACAGCATCTTAATGTCTCTACAGATATTTTTTATATTTAACTGGCTCATTTTAGCTGGTATTCATTACATTTCTCACAACTCTGGAAACTGTATTCTGGATCTGTGCCCCATTCAGGAATACAGTTGTACAGCATATAAAAAATGCAGTTGACTGAGGTGGCTGCTCAAATTCAATCTGGCTTGTCACTGTTGCCGTTGTGCAAATAAACATATTACCTTGAGTGTAAAACAGTTCTTATTATAAAAAAAGGGTGGCTGGTATCAGAACATGAAAATCTTTTTATAAAAAAGAAAAAAAAGGTGGAAAATTATATTTGAGCACTTTAATACCCTATCATACAGTAGTACTTTGTTCTGATTGTATCATGTAAAATGATTGTGTTTTGGAATCAAGTGTACAATAAGGCCAATAATCATAGAGCTAATGTTGTAATTCATTGTTTTCAAATACCTCTCGTGGAAGTATAAATTGTGTGTCGTTGTCTTTTATTTATCTCGTGCTGAAATGTACTCAGTGGAGTCGGCATTGGTCTTCATGCTTTAGGTAACAGTATGTGGGCAGTTTGCTGAGACACATCTCGCCTTCTCATCACTCTACAGTGATTTAGGCCCGTTGTAGATATTAGTGGAAACTAAAATAGGAAGATGTTTTCTGGTCTCTAATGTTCTTCAGTGAATTGTGAATAAGACAATAAATCTGTAATATTACTGTACTCTGATATTCTTGTAACGTTCATGACTCTGAAGACAAACGATGCATGTTCTTGTGTGTGTGTGACCTCGAAGTCTTTTGTTTATTTCAAATATAATATACAAATTTCATTATAGAAAAAAGTGTGTAAAATGCTTACAGTGAAAAATATGAAATGATCCTTCTCAGTGTTTGTCCATGCAGGGCAGAGTTCACTTCTGAGCTTTCTTTGCTCCCCCTTTAGCCCCTCCTTTGCCTCCTTTTTCTCCTTTGTCTCCCTTCTCTCCAGATTTCTTCTCTTTCCCGTCACCAGCTTCTTTCTTGGATGCTCCCTTTTCACCTTTGTCACCCTTCTTTGTTGATGCATCCTTTTCATCTCCCTTCCCCTCTTTGGCACCCTTCCCCTCCCTTTTGCCCTCCTTTGTCTTCTTCTCTCCCTTTTCACCATCCACTTTTCCAGAGACTGTTGTCACCTCCTCTTTTTCTTCTGCTTTTGCAGCTGCGGAGAAAAACAAGAAAAACAAATGGTAGAAGGCTTCATGGCAGCATCAGGTATACTCAGGGTCGTGCCTGTAGAGCTAAATGGAAGGGAGAATTTAATACAACACAATGCCGGGCTAAGTAGGTTGCATGTAATGGAGGCGCATCTGTTTCTATCTGTACTAATAAGCATGGTCTATTTATTCTTTTAATGGAATTGTTTGACATGTTTTCTGGGTGGGAAATGGAGAACAAGTTTACAGCCAGCTTTGTGTGAGTTTACAGAGAAAGTTTTTCTCATTATCGTTCAGGAGGTGACACCCTGAAGACGTACACAACTAACAGAGGTTAGAAAAAAATGCATTAATATTTACAAAAGAATATCTCTGTAAAAGTTTGATATTTTCAAAAATGTTGACAGGGTTTCTCGCTGAGAGTTACATTATTAGATATTTAACACACTTATGGCTATGTGGTAAATATGAAGCTCCCGAACGTTGCTGGGTAGCAGAAAGTAACAACATTTAAAACATGCAGCTCATACCCAACTTTGTTTTTTTACACTTTGGTTTTTTACTACTCTTTAAATGAATGAGCCATGAGATGTTATTTAGTGAGCTTTGCAGATGCTGGTAGTCAGATTTTGCTACCTTCAGAGCATGGCCAGTGGTTTGCCCCTGTTTCCAGTCCTTATGCATTAGACCAGGGGTGTCAAACATACGGCCTGTGGGCCAGAAGGTCGTTCGTGGCCATTTGAGGGCCGCCAAAGGGTCCAATCTGATCCACTGGATGACCTAAACACTGAGCCTATTTAGATGGTCTAAAGCGGACGGCGCATAATCCATGTCGCAAGTGTCATTGCTATTTAGATGCAGGCGCAGTTGTCATTTTCAAGCCCTGCGCCCTCGTCGTCTAACTAGCAAATGAACTTGCGCTTCTTCGTCTAAAAATGTGGTCAGGCGCAGTCATGGCGCGTTGCTAGTTAGATGACAGGAAAAGCAAATGTGCCAGTGACCAACAAAAACCTGGTCTAAAGTCAACGGTGCAATATTTCGCTGTTAAACAAGTTAGTGATATGCGTCTCTAGGCGGGTGCACAACGCGCGTGCACTCTGCTCAGACACACATGGAGCAGCCACACATATGCAAAAGATAACAAATAAAAATATGATTACAATGTGAAAGGTTATTATTGTGCACATTAAAATATTTATCAGAAACACGTCTTAATGGTCAGTCATTAATCAGAATGATCTAATCGCAGTAATAATTATCATCATAATCCGGGAGGTCCAAGCTCGCAGTGTCCGAATATACGGAACTGCGAGCAGACCTCCACGGGCTGATGATGCATAGCCTGTAAAATGAACTTGTCTTTCCCAAATGAGTTGTGATCATTTTGGCATGTAAATCACAAAATCAGAGATGTGAAAACGTTTGATAAACTTTATTTTGACATAAACACAACAATAACCAGCTTCTGTGAACTAAAAACGTAAACTTATAGCCCTACAAGTACAAATGTATATGTAAAAAAAAGCTTTTAGAACGTAAAACTGAAGATCATCTTGTCAGGAGGAGGAGGAGGAGGAGGATGCACAGCGGCCGCACAGCCCGCCGCACAGCCGGGGGCACCCGGGGGAAGCTCCGCAGCCCACGCGCAGCCAGACCAGACGGCCCGGGTGCAGCCACGGGACCAGCCCTTCCTGCACCTTCAGGCGGGGGGGTTCAGGATGCTGGAGAGGGAGCTGGGCTCTCTAACCTCCAGGTTAAAATAAAATTGAATAACTTACAATTTGTTGACAGCGTTTCTCTCGTGCGCGCGCGCTCTCTCTTTCTCGCAGTCTCACTCTGTTTTTTTTCCTTTGACTTTTCTAAGATGCTGAATATATACTCCCTATCTGATGCTGTGGCTGTTTGTGGTTGGCTGAGAGGGATGTGAACTCATTAGTTTGCAGCTGTGTTAATCAAATCAGGTTGGGTTTCCATCACGCGTGCAAAACGTGCCAAACGGTGCCAATCCCCTTTGATCTGACATCAGATGTGACGGGACAGTCGATACAGAGATACATTTATCGTCTCCTCAGCTGTAAAACGCTCAATCTTTCCAGTTGGTAGGTCCGCCATCTAACTAGCTCTCCGCCGAGCGCTCCAGTCACCCCTCTCTTAAAGAGAATGAGAGGTGACACTCTGATTGGCTTATGGAATGATACGCCCAAAACACACCCATGACTAATTCACAGAGTAAGTCCAACCCTTTTAGACTCTCCGCCATGGCGCACAGTCTGAAAACGCGCTGTCTAACTAGCAAGTGACTGGGACACGCCCATGCGCCGCACGCCGTCTGCTGTCCGCTTTAGACCATCTAAATAGGGCCCTGAGTTTTCTTCTTGTGAAATGCTGCTTCAGAGGCCTTTTGCAGTTCTTTTCTTTCACTTCAGTTTGGTGTGGTGGTGTCAGGATTACTACACAGGAGTGGAAATGTACAGAAAAATGCACATGTAATGACAGTGAGTAGTCAACTAAACTGAGACATTTTGCTGAAATTGCATTTATTCTTCTGAAGACATCACAGGCAGTTTGTCATCTGTTTGGTAAATTAATTAGTGTTTTTAAAATGTACTTTTTTAAACCAAAAAATAGTCAAATTTGGAGATGTTTATTATTTATAGGACATTACACAATGGTTTAACTGGTCCGGCCCACCTGCGATCAAATCGGACTGTATGTGGCTCATGAACTAAAATGAGTTTCACACTCCTGCTTTAGACTGCACTAACTGGCTGTTGGCTGTAGCTACATATTTAAAGGGGCTCTGTGTGAAAATTCATGTTTCTCACGGCGGTAGCTGAGCTAGCAGCTAATGGCGCTAACTCCGTAAACATCGCTTGACAACAGCAGAACTGTAACAGTACTGACAGAGCTAAAGGTGTTGGGGGAACTGGAGGATTGGTGCTACACTTCTGCAATCATGCCATTTTGCTATCAGTGGTAACTGCCATATGAGCGCGGTGCAAAGTAGTGTTGTGTCGTTTGTTAATGAATCATTCAAATGAACGAATCTGTTGAGTGAACGTACTGAACTGAATCACTTCCGGAAATGATTTGTTCATTTCTCAGTTCAGTTGAGCTCAGCAGCAAGCGTGCAGCCTGGGAGTGGAACTGCCGATTCAGTCTGCGCAAACGATGAATCACTCGCGAGTCGCGAGGCAGCCAGGGTGAACGAATCACTTGGTGAACGAATCACTCGGTGAACAACGTAACCCCGATCCCTGAGTGATTCAAATCATTTCTTCTCAGCGACACACTTTCATAGGGACTGTTTTCTCCAAGCTAACAGCTAATGTAGCCAGGAGTCAAGCCACATGAACACAATCACACACCTCCCCATTGTTTTCACACACTTAGTTTCCAGATAAACAAACTTAAAACGTTAGGCTGGCCAGTAACGAGCCTCACCAGTGCAGGGCAGACACAGCAGCAGCTCAGTGAGTCAGACTACACAGTACACAGTCAGGCTCCTCCCACCAACCACTGAACGATTCGGTGAACAAATCTTTTGAACGAATCTTTTTAATGAACTGATTCTAGTGATTCAGTAACATCTAAAGAACTGCTTTGCCCATCACTAGTGCAAAGTGGCGGTGAGCTAGCCAGTGCACTTACATGCATGCGCAGCCGGACAGGTTCACCACAACAAACCACAGAGAAGCTCAAATTACTACACACACAAGGAACCTGACTTCATCCTCTGCGCAGGACCCCATTACTCTGCTACATCTTTACATAGCAAATAGGTTTGCTGCTTTATTAATGCTCTTAATGTTGCATACAGAACCTTTGATAGTGGTATTGATTTTTGCATCCAACTCTTTGAGAGATAGGAATTAATATATTTCCCGAAAATATCAAAACTATCACTTACATTTTGTGGCATTTATCCCCAGATCTGTTTGATAAAGCTTAGATTTCCACATGAAAAGACAGGCTGATGGTGAAATAGGCTGTCTGCATGTGGAAATAGTGAATGTTCAAAGGCTGTTTAACTCTTGATGCAAAGCAGACCCTGCAGCTTCTTCTTTCAATTAATCTAATCATGTCTAATTTATTCTTTTGTTTGTTTTATTTATTGATTCATTTGTTCACAAAAACTAAAATCAGACTCTGAGGATGAAATCAAAAGTTTCCAATGTTTTGCAGAAAAATAAAAACTCCAAAGGCATTTTCAATTCGCTTTTTTTTTGGAACATGTGAACCCACGCCATTTTTGTTCACGCACAATAAAAGCAGAATTGGTTTTCCACATGAAAGATATACCGCTAAAATGAAGCTGAAACTAAGCTAACCACGTCCAGCAGACCCTAAACATGTAAAGGCCTCAAGCAAGAGTTAGTAAGTGGATATAGATCAACAGGAAACATTGGTGTGATTTTACACTTCAGCAACTATTGTTTAAAAACTGTGAAAATCGCTCGAAGGAAAGATTGTAGTTGGGGCCAAACCAAGCTTCATCTTCCTTTTTTTTCTTTCCAGTAGCAAAGCAAACATTTTCCCGGTGCTCTACAAACACTGCACAGACACTGGATATACAAACGAAAGCCAAGAAACCAAATGACAAACACACACCAAATGTCGAGAGTTGCCGGAGGGGGTCAGAGTAAACCTGAAAAGATTTCAGTCCTGTGTTTTACTGCGTTGGATGAATCCAGCTGACTTAAAATAACCAACCAACCATCAGAATGTTTGTGAATAGATTTCTTTGTGTTGACTGAATTCTGAGACCATCTTCCGCTCTAACCCTCATGCATTTCTCCTCCGCTCATCAGCTCCTTTATGTTGCCTTTCTTTCTTCGTGTTTTTTTATATACCAGTCTGATTCAGACAAAGACTTGGAGAGATGATGCATCTGTGCAATGGTTAAAGCCTGGGCTGGTGATGGCTAAATGAAGAGCTGTAATTAAATGTCAGCATGGGAAACCCAGACATGTTCCACATTGTTCCAATTTTGGTCAAACTTGGA